ATGTCCCCGCCGTGTCCCTGCTTGTACCTGCCGATTCCCGGCCATGTCCCCCACGTCCCCGCCGTGTCCCCCCGTGTCCCGGCCATGTCCCCGCCGTGTCCCTGTTGTACCCGCTGTGTCCCAGCCATGTCCCCGCCATGTCCCCCACAGACTGCCGTGTCCCCCCGTGTCCCGGCCATGTCCCCGCCATGTCCCTGCTTGTACCCGCCGATTCCCGGCCATGTCCCCCACGTACCCACCGTGTCCCCCCGTGTCCTCCCACAGTCCCTGCCGTGTCCCTGCTTGTACCCGCCGCGTCCCCCTGTGTCCCTGCCATGTCCCCCACGTACCCGCCGTGTCCCCCCGTGTCCCGGCCATGTCCCCGCCGTGTCCCTGCTTGTACCCGCCGTGTCCCCCCGCGTCCCGGCCGTGTCCCCCCGCCGTGTCCCCCGCGTCCCGCTCACCCTCCGGCCTCCGACAGCGTCCGCAGCCCCGCGGGCGGGATCCGCCGCGTCACGAAAACCTCCATGGCCCGCAGCAGCGCCCGCATCCGCCGCGGGCGGAAGAAAACTGGGCCGAGCCGAGCGGGGCCGAGTCGACCCGAGCGCGGCCAAGCGGGGCCTGGCCAAGCCGAGCTGCGCCGAAGCAAGAGCCGAGCAGAGCCGAGCCGATCCGAGCGGAGCCGAGCCAGGCGCGGAGGGGAGCGGAGCGGAGCCGGGTGTCGCGAGGGGAGCCGGGCGGGCGCGGGCGGCCCCGGGGCGGGCCCGGGCGGCGGGGCTGGTGCCGCGGGCGGGCGCAGGCCGCGGGCTGCAGGCGGAGCTTCCCTTGCCCGCCCCTGTGCAAGCACGGCTCCCGCGCGCGCCTAAGGCTACAAGGCTTTTCCTTGCTCTTAAGTGTCTTTAGGTTTCATAGATTGCTTTAGAGTACAAAGACTCTTTCTGTTTCTTTAGCTATCACAGCCGGAGCAACTCAGCAGGCACGGATGGCAGGGACTCCGAGCAGCAGGTCCCTGGAGCGGAGGGGACCCGGCCAAGGTTGCCCGTCCCCCCGGGCTGAGGAGAGCTTCGCCAGCCGTGCAGGACAGCGGGGCCTCGCGGCTGCAGGGCGAGAAGGACCCCCCAAAGGACAGGCTGCTGATTCAGCTGCACCTCCGTTGTCCTTCCTTCTCAGTTCTGGCTTCTCAGTTCGTCCTTCAGCCCTGCCAGCCTCCTTCCTCTTGCTGCTACCGGAGGAAGAGAACAGCTGTGATTTTTCCCTCGTGTCCCACAAAGCAGTGGCCTCCCAAATTGCCGCCTGTCGAGACCTGTCTGTGCATAAGCCTTTCCTGCCTGGAGGCTGCAGCCCGCTCAGCACGCGCAGCAGGCTCAGGGCGGGAAGGAGGGTAGGAATGGGGCTGCAGGTGGCAGGGTGTCTCCCGCCGAGCTGTGTGTCCTCAGAGCGCTCCGCATCTGGGGCTCGGTGTGCCACGACACATACAGTGCTTGCACGCGGTTGTTCGGGATGGGACCAGCATGGGCTGCACGCGTGTTGACGGAGGTTCACATTTTGTCCCTCTTGTCTCTCACCATTGACTTGTCCAAAACCCAGGAAAGAGGCAGGAGTCAACTCTGAACTTCTACCAAGAGCTACTGGTGAGGATTGCCTTTGTCCTGTGTCTAGTGTTGGCTAAAGGGATAGAAATGGGGTAGGGAGATCCCATTTCTATCATGGGATAGAAAGGGGGTAAGATAGCAGCAGTGGAGGGGTCTCTTACACTGCTGTGTGCACACTGGGTATGGAAAGGTGTTTTTAGGCACTGTCTGTAGAGGGACTCACATAATATCCTATCAGGATGCATAAATTGCCATCATGCTAAGAATACATGGCAACGTCTGTGCTAACAGCCACACATTTGGGCCATGTTGTAGACTGGCACAGTGGCTTTCCCAGGCTGGTTCTGCTACACGTGAAGTGAGTGTCAGTCCCAAACTGATTTCTTCTTATTCTTGGGGCCACAAAACCTGACAGCTGAGGAATAAACATAACTGGTTTGTAAGTGGAGCCTTTGTATTTTAAATTCTTCTAGCATGGGAGCAGAAAGAAAAGTAATTTCCAGGTGGACACACGCAGGGCAACTTGTACATCTTCAGTAATATAAAACACTATTAAGCACACCAACAAATAAAATGAACAATGTAATTTGTATATTCAGGTCTGGGAGACCCTGGAAAGGAACAGGCCTGACACATCTATCGCGCTCCAGAAATCTTCTTTGAACAGAGTAGCTTGATTTTTATACCCAGTGCCAAACTGACATGATTAATAATCTGTTCTCAACAATTACATTCCTTGCACCTATTTTCTAGTACCTTTCCCTCTGCAGCATCCACCATTCTCCAAGGTATGGGTGAATTTGCTAGCTCTGCGTATTTTCTACTGATAACACTGCTGGTCTAGGTTCTTTCCCCATTGTGCCTGTGAGAGCATTGTGATAGGAAATAGCAGCTGATTAGAACATGCTGAGTTGCATCTTCTCGCAGGAGAATAGGTGGGCAGAACTGTGAAAATGGCTGTGGTGACTAGAGATATGTGAACTGCCCAGAACAAGGTAGAAATGGAACATAAAAATATAGTCAGAAAACTAGGAATCTTAAGGTATGAGTGAAATACAACACACTGCAAGAAGACATTAAAAAACGCAAGGAGGGGAGTAAGAGAGGGTGAATGGAAAGATTTCTCCTTTGGTTGTTAAGGGATTTGGTAGCATATGTGGTTTGCCAGCCAAGTTTTCCATTGCTGTGGAGAGTCCTTCATACAAATGTTCAATATACACCAATGTAGGAAATGCATAACCTGAATTCATGAAGGGAAAAAAAACACTAAAAGAAGTGCTGGGGTGATACAAATGTCAGAGGTTTTATTTCTCCAATGTGCTCATTCTGCAAAAGTAAATAGATGAGAGATCTTTGCTATAGATTATATAACCCACAAGAAGAACAGAGATAATTTTAATGAGTCCCTGTCGCTTCACCAGAGCAAATGCCAAGTTTGCCTTAGAGAGAAGGTCATGTTCTAAAAAAACAGCTATCTCACCATGATCAGGAGCTGCGATTTCATGGTTAATGTCAGACTCTGTGTCTGGACAGTCAGCAGGGTCCCTCCTCACAAGGTGGGTACGTGGTATCTATATAATGCTCATGTGTAGAGAGGAGACAGAGTGTGGCTGATAATGCAGTATGAAGAGACCACTGAATTACAGAGGGTTGAGAAAAGCTTCCATTCTTCCGTTTTACTAACATGGACCTTTTCTTTCTCTAGAGTAGGACATGCATTCTGCTTGCATGTGGTCTAACAACTTGTCATTAAAACAGAATTTAAATGATGATCAGGTTTCTGGTGCAGCTCTCTCCGTTGCAGAGCTCAGTTGCAGGACTTGTGCACCGCCCTGCGAGAGCGGCACGATGCGGTTATCCAGGAGGCACCTTGTCCGAAGGCCGGGGTGAAAGCTGTCCCCATGTTCCTCGCCACAGCCTCCTCCTCAGAGGAACACTTCCTTCTCCATAGCGTCTCCCGTCAGGCCTGCCAGGAGGTTGTTGGCGGCTAGCACAGCCATGGCGTTCCTAGTGCTCCATGTGGCACTTGCGATGTGTGGCAGGATCACTGCAACAGAAAAGGAAACAGAGGGGCTACTTCCTCCGTGCTGGGTCCTGCAGCAGCCGCTGAACCGGTACCGCCACCAGCCCCTGATTTGCCCAAGCCCTGGTGCTGGCCCCAGGAAGGAACATGCTCCTGCCTTTAGAGAAGATGCATCAGAAGCCTTGGGAATAGGGCGTCTGTGTGGTTCCCTGTGGGTTTCTGGACTGCCTACCCTGGAGAAAATCTGTTTGGCAACCCCATGGGATGGCAACCCTGGCAGGGATGTTGGCTTCGTCATGGAATCATTAAGTCTGGAAGGGACCTTTACAGATCATCCAGTCCAACCTGCCTGCGCACACAGGGTCACCTAGAGCATGTTATACAGGGCTGCATCCCATCAGGCTTTGAGTATCCCCAGAGAAGGAGACTCCAGTGTTCCAGTGTTCCGAAAAAAAAAAAAAAAAAAAAAAAAAAGAAAGCAGGGCTTTTAAAGGATTTTTTAATTTTAAAAAAGTGTTTTGTTAAAATTTGTCTGGGTTTTTTCAGATGTCAATGTGCTTCCACCTCAACCAGAGCAGGATGGACAAATGGAAGGACAGATACAACAAAATGTTCAGGAGCATCCCTGTAGCAACCCTTCACACAGGTGCACATGCATACGCATACATGCAAATGTGCCAGCATGGACATCATAGTCTGACTCAGTTTCTGGGAACACCCTGATATGGAGAGGGTATACATACATACATACATACACATGTGTGTGTGCATACCTACACACACATACATTCGGAGTCCTTTGAGAGCACATCTTTCAAATTCCTTGCCATAATATAATTACCCTGCTCTAATGCTGTAATATAATTACCCACCAGACAAGGGCTTGCTAAGCCAGAGAAGTAAGGTGGGGTGGGACTGACAGCAAAGGGCATATTCTTTACACACGGCTTTGTGTCCCTGTCATTAAAACCGGGTTGATGATGGGCCATAATGGTTTTGCTGGAGGAACTTGGGTTTTTGGATAGTTTTGTAAGGTGCTGGCCCCACCAGATTCTGTTTCAGCTGATTCTATAGTCAGCTGATGTGGTCCCTGATCAAGACTTAGCTCTTGGTCCCTTTTCCTTTCTAGTTCTTGCGACGGCATTCAAGCGCTTCACTGTCTACTGATAAGCAAGGCATAGAGGAGATGTAAAAATACCTCCTGACGGGACACAAACTGTGTCTTTAAGTACTGTATACCTGAACCAAAAAGAGTGCTAGCCAACTAGCCAAATGCCTAGAGTGCTAACCGTGCTAAGCAACTGCCGTTGCTTAGCTATAAACAGACCTGTTTATAGCTGGTCTGCTATAAACAGACCAACTTACAGCTTGAAGAACAGCGTTTTTCTTCTGAAGGACCCTCAGTTCAGAAATTTGGAAGGACAGTGCACAGTGTCTTTGTTTTAACATGGCTCCCCCATTGCAAGTGTCTGTGCTGAGCAAATTGCCTCAAAACAGATTTCTTTGATGGAGAAAGATTACTACTGCTAGGAGGCAATTGATGCTACATGTATTGCATGCTGATTTAGGATGAGAGGAACCTTAGAGTCTCCAGAGACTATAGTGGGAAGTTTCCAATGGTCAGAGATAGAGTGAATTCTCTCCTAGTCATAAATGCAAAATTTGCTGCTCAAAGTTTGATGGCCAAACCCTTCTTGTGTGCAATTCAAATTTGCTGGCACACAGGCCTAACTCATCCTTGCATTATGACCATGAATTGAACACAGGTATGAAAAAGAGGGGGGAAAAAGTAGCAAGATATGACCGTGTTTAGAAAGGAGGAGAAAAGCAAACAAACAAACCAAGGAAACAAAGAAACAGGTGGGTTAGCTTAGTGAATGAGAACAGATTCGCACCAGTAAAGTTAATTTCATCACAAAAACATCAGTGGTCAGAGCAAAGGCAGAGTTCAGTGTTGCAGCATATGGAGCCCGATTCCTTCTGCTGCTATGCAGTAGAAGTTTCACAGGTTAATACCAGTCCATGAGATACGAACAGTTTGCAACAAACACTCACCACAGTTTTTAAGTTTAAAAAGAGGATGATCTGTAGGCAGAGGTTCAGGCACCGTAACATCCAGACCAGCAGCTGCAATGCGACCATTAGCCAGAGCCTGGTATAAGTCATCCTGGTTCACTACACCTCCCCTGTAGGGAAAACAGCATCCATCAATTTCTGAGCAGCTTTCCTCTGTCATTTCTCTAGGAGCTAAGAGGTTTCATTATCTGGTCAGAGCTTTAACAAGAAGGTTTGGATAGAGTTGGAGTGCAGAGCCATCTGATATTAATGGCATTTTTTTAGTAAACTCAGAGGCCAGGGACTTAACGGTACTTTTCTCCAGCATGAATCATACTGTATTATATGAAAGATCAGCTTATCTAATAAGACTGTATCCTACTGATGGGATTTTCCTTTATCATGATGCCCCGCCAGTCAGCATGTTGTCAGATTATGCCGGCAAAAACCTTTTTATTTTTAATAATTGCTTGAAAGTTTGGTTTATTTTATTGAGCTGGGATATCATTAGAGGTGACATCTCCCTCCCTGATCATGTAAGGATTTATGTCAGGAGTATATGTGCTCCAGCATGACATATCTGTGCTAATCTTGAAGCACGGTGGCTGCAGAGGGTTTTTTTGATCTGTTTTTTTTGTTTTTTTTTTTCTTTCTTCCTATCACCCTCACCTGCTCGTGTTGATGAATATGGCTGTGTCTTTCATTTGGGAGAACATTCTGCTGTTGCAGATGCCCTTTGTTCCTGGGGTTAGCGCGCAACACACAATGATGAAGTCTGAACACCGGGCCAGTTCCTCCAGCGGCACTGTTACAAGCAGAATGGAGATCCCCAGGAAGGATTTATTAACAAACTAAAACACACAACTGGCTAAAGCCTTGGGTTTATTAATAAACTGAAATCCAGAGAGCGGATAAACTGCCTCCTTACCTGCATGACTTTGAAGTAATTATTACAAATCTATGGAAACAGTTCCCTTGAGTCTCTTGGCCCACAGTTGCTTTGCTGTACCAGTCCCAGACCCACACTCTGCGTCCCACTCACCAAATACACCCAGTACACATCTTGAAATGTTTCGGATTCCCAGAACTCAGGAACTTGTAGTAACTTGATAAAGGCAAGAACAAGGGGACACATACCTCACTGCATAACACTGACAACCAGTTCCAGAATAGAAGCCATCCTGATTAACCCTCCTAATCTGAAAATGTTTAACTAGCAAACTGGGCTCTACCATTTTGGGTTGCATGCTTCAATGAATTTTTTTTTCTTCATGTAAACTGGCCATGGTCTAGCCCTGGAATGATTTTTCTCTTTACACAGCCCTCTAGGGTGAGATACTCGCTGCCTCTTGGAAATGTCATAGCTCTTCAGTCCCTTCGGGATGCAAGGGAGCTGTCAGTGTTGTGGACTTAGACTGCATCTCTCATATTGCTGGCTCTGCAGGGTGGAGCTCAGCTCCTGCATTGGTCATAACCCTGTTATTACCAGGCCAGGCACGAATGTGATTGTACTTGAGACCAATTCTAACTCTCATAATTCCTGCCTGCCCCAGTATCACACTCTCAATATACGCTTAAAACCAAAGGTCCTAGAGTCGCAGGACTGTGTTCTTTATTTTAAAAAGACAGGGGCTTTGTGAGCACAGGAACAAATGGAGCTCAGCTCCCTGTGGAGTTCTGTCTCATGGATGACTGCCTTTAGTGTTGAAGGAGGTGCAAGTTCTCCCTGAAGAGTTCCCATGGGATGAGGAAGAATAAGGTGATGGCACTGACCCAGGTGTCTGATAAGATTTGAGTTTGCAATACAGCCTTCCTCTCTGCTGGACACTGGCAAGGTCTTGGCCCTCTACACATCTGTGTGTTAGCCTGATAGCTGTAGAAATGTGGCTCACATTTCCAAATGCACCCAGGAAGTGGCGCAACATTTCTAAATCTTCACATTTCTGAGCCAGTAATTTTAGGGTCAGGGAAGACAAACCCCAGTGTCTAGTTTTTGAGTTGTTCAGTCTTAGCATCTCTCTCAGTGTACTTTCCTGCAGAGATGAGAGTGATAACATCTGGGTCTTGTCTCCCCAGCTCTGTTGGCCTTTATCACATGTGTCTGAGATTTCCCTCCTGGGCAGATCCCACCCTAGCAGTGGTCCATGTTTCTCAAGTTGAACATCGGAGAGAGACAAGATCTAGGGCATGTGAGGAAAGGGCTGGTGCCCATATGTATTTTCCTGGCCCACTGGTGCTGCCAGCATGTCATTCAATAAAAGCAATGGTTCAAGGCATCAGGAGTATCATCTGACTTTTGTTCCACCAGCAATAATAGATATAGGAGGGAACATGAAGAGCTGCCCCTGCAAATGCCTGGGCAAGAGATCATAGAACCATAGAAACCTTAAGGTTGGAAGGGACCTCAGAGGTCATCTAGTCCAGCCCCCTGCACACGCAGGGTCACCTAGAGCACGTGACAAAGGCTGCGTCCAAGCAAGTCCTGAAGATCTCCAGAGAAGGAGACTCCACAACCTCTCTGGGCAGCCTGTTCCAGGGCTCTGTCACCCCCACTGTTAAGAATTTTTTGCTTAAGTTCCTGTGGAACTTTTGGTGCTTCAGTTTGTGGCCATTTCCTCTAGTCCTATTGGTGGAGCCATGAAGGAAGGTGGTGAAGGAAAAAGGTTAGGGTTTCACAGGGTGTCTAGGGGAAACTGTTGGGATTTGGGAACAGGAATATTGCCTCTATGCACAGAACGACTTGTTGATTCATATCCTCTGCCCACCCAGTTGGAAAAACGGTAAAAACAAACTCTGGGTAGCTTTGAGTTCCCCCTGAGCCACAGACCCTGAGCTAATATCCAGCCTTTGAGCCCCTCACATGTACCCTCTTACCAAATTCTGCTGGGATGGCAGCAGCCATCTCGGGCCGGGGAGCACTGTTGGTGTAGAGGAACTTCTTTACTCCAAAGGGTTTTAAGCGGGTGGCCACAGCTTTTCCTTTAAGAGAGGAGTTAAATCCATGAGATCCGTGGCACTGGTGCTCAGCCGATCTGCACTGTCTCTGTACAGTGGAACACGCTAGTGCCCAGTATCTAAGTCCTCTAGATTTGTGGGTCTGAGGGTGGTCTCAGAACCTGTCAGGCAGTATGTGACTGTGCCAGGGCTCTACAGCTGCTTGTGTGCAGAGACCAAAGAACTGGGTGGCCAAATTGCTGAAGAATGGGTGAGTAAACCCGTTTTCACATGCCCCTTGCTTCAGGATGCTGGCAGCGCAACTGCTTAGAGGGGAAGGCATATGCACTGCAGCCTCCATTCCACCTCCTAGACTTTGATTTTCATTTAGAAACCAATAAAGATCCCAGAAGGAGTAACTGTCACCCAAATGAAGGACGACACAGCAAAGAAACCTACAAAGACCAGTTCCTCTCCTGGCACCTTGACAGTGCAGGTGAAAACACCAGATTAGCTTCATAAGTTGTCTGAAAGGATGAAAGTTTAACTGCGAGCTGAACTGCACTTGAAGGGAGGTTAGTGATCTTGGACAAAGTTGTGACGACTCCAGGAGGGACAGAGCCACAGGGAAGCCCTGCATTTTGCTAGCTCATTTGGGCAAGCAAAAGGGGTACTGCTTCTGCTCCCATTTTTTTCAGCTAGAGAGGAAGCATCACAACAGTGAGGGTTTTTTTTTTAATTGAAAATATGGAAAACAGCAAAGTTTACAAGTCAAATATACATATATATGTGTGTATATATATATATGTAATATAAATGTAAGTATATGTAATGTATTTAAAAACTGTATGTAATATACACTTAACTATATGCATATATTTCCTATCAAAAAGGTCTAGGCAAAATTTTCTCTATATATTTTCTCTATATATTTTCTCTATATATACTTATATAATATGTAAATGCTATTTTTCTAAATTTTATATATAGTCACAGATACATAAAAAGAAATATGTACATACAAAATTATAAGCGTCCTAAAATTAAGATTTTCAAAATGGCCTTTTTTTTCCACCTTCCCTTTAATATCAAAGGTAGTTTAGGATTAGAGGCATAAGTCTATTGAAATGCTTGTGTCATTTTATGGGTATTTTATTTATGGATAAGATAATCCAGGGATTATTTTACCCGGACCCAGAATGCAGAAATTTTGGCCATTTCTGTACAGTCCTGCAGGAGAGGTCTCCAGGGGATGTTGTAAACTCACCTATGCGTCCAAGGCCAAGTATCCCCACAGTGCTGCCAGTCAGACCATAGCCACACATCCAGAGGGGTTTCCAGCTGCCCCAGCCACCACTTAAAAACAGGAATCAATTTACTTCAGGCTAAAGCTGTGTGAGCATATCTACTTTTCCCATGGCTGCAGAATACAGTAACTCAGCAGATGCATCAACTGTTTTTTGGAAAAAAAGGTGTGGGAATGGATTATCCCACAGCCAAAGCTAGCTCATCTTAGCCACTTTAGAGAGAACATTAGAGCAATGGAAGCCAGTCAGTGTCCTCAAGGATGCATTTTGCACTTGTGATCAGAAATTTTGCCCTTCACAAAAAACCAAGAGTGGTAACTGTTTTAAAGTCAGAATAACCTCTTTATGTGAAGGAATATTTCTGTCCTCAGCTTTACACTGCATGTCATTCTGCCTGCCCTTGTCTTCTTGTTTCTGTCTTGTGAGACAAACAACAGAAATTCACAGGTTCTGTCTCTCTCTCTCTCTCTGTTTTAATAGATAGGTTATCTATATGTATGTGTGTGTATAAATAGAAATATAAAAATAGTCTATGTTTATTACTTTATGCATCTCCTCCAATTTAATTCTTCTAGGTGACATTTCTAGTTTGCTCTGTTTCTCCACAGCATCTCCTGTACCATTCTCATTATCAAGCTTTCAACCTCTTTGTGTATGTTATGAAGACTGAATACAGAGCAGTGTAAGATATTGAGAACCTGTAATATTTTGATCTCAGCTCTTTTGCTTCTGAATCTCTTTCTTGCTGTGTTTTGACAGCTGTCTCCTTGGCTGTTAATAGAAGTTACTCCAATGAGATCATCATGAGCATCCCTACTCTTTGCTGCGTTGCAGTTGCCACTGTCTTCTGCCATCATATTTCCCCGCCTTTTTTGGTCCCTTATGAAAAAAATCACAGTCTACAGTTTTCTTAAGTCTTTCTAATCTGAATGAATCTTTTTTCACTTCTCCTGGCTCTATTGCACTTCACTTCAGCCCGAAGTTTCAGATCGTTAAAAAGATTTCTCTATCTCTCAGTCCTGACTTGGAATCTTTATTATCATCTTGACACCATGGTGAAAACTGACCTGTAATTTAGTTTTTAGTATCATCTAGTTTGTTTCAGACTACAGACAACTTTATGAGTGAAAAATTCTGAAAAAAATTGCAGAAGCCTCTCTTTCTCTTCTCTCTCCTCTCCTCTCCTCTCCTCTCCTCTCCTCTCCTCTCCTCTCCTCTCTTTTCTCAAATAATAGAGATTAGCACATTCTACTTGTTCCTCCCTTTTGCTGACGTTGGACAGACTTCAGAGGCAGTGATGACTCTGGAGTCTTCAAAGACAGGTCTAGAATAATCTCTTTCCTATACTCTTTTTGCCTTAGTAGCTATAACATTTGTAATATAAAATCTGTAAAAGCCCTGGTTTGGAATAACGCTCTAAAGCAGTTTAATTCTGATTTTTGGGGTGCATTCCCAACATTTTTTTTCTTACTTTCTGTTTTTATGTTGGGCTCAATATAAAAAATGCCAGAAGGTAGTCTGAATAGGAAAGTAAGAGCAATATTTACCTCTTAGCTTCATCCACAGCTTCCATGAGCCGACGAGATGTTGCCAGAAGGAGAGCCACAGTGAGTTCGGCAGCTGCTTCTGTCAGTACATCTGGGGTGTATCCTAACCGGATCCCTCTGTAAGGATACAGAAGTATGGCCCACCACTGATGCACCCCGGGGGGTTGATAGCATTCTGGAAGTGCATGTCAGGGCAAGATGAAAATGATCACTCTTGGTGTGTGAAGGGAATATCTTTTGAGGTATAAATCATCCCTGGCAAAGCTTACAGTTTTCAAGAGAATACTGCATAGGAATAAACGTGTGACAACTCCCCATGAAAAGTCACTAAAGCATTTGAATGTCCATCATGACATGGAAATGCACCACAAGTTTTGAAGAAGAACCATGGTTCTTCAAGGAGCGCTAAGCGGGAGAAATGTGTAGGAGTCTGATTTACTGGGAACTTTATGTCAGCATAAACTGGAAAAGCACTCCTGGAAGGCTGGTGGTTAGACTCAATCAGCTCAAGCATACACCTGGCAAAATCACTAGTTGCATCTTCAAGCAAAGACAATGTGTATGAATTTGTCTGATTAATTAATAATTCTACTTTGGGGCATGTCAGTATTCCTACTTCAAGAATTTCTATATTTTTCCAGGGCCAGAAACTGGATACTATGGACAACCTTAAGTCTTCGATGAGCTGGGGACTGCACACTCTCTTCATGTGGCCAAGAGCTGCAACAATAAAAGTAATTTCAACTCTCAGACACATAGGAGTGGGAGGGGAACCCTCAGGAGAACAGTTGTGCTTTGCTGCAGGATAACGGGGCGCACACACGGGAAGTTGATCTTCATGACGGGAGGGCCAGGGAAGGGAACCGTACACCTTGTGTTTGGCCTGTTCAGATGGTGGTGTTCTTGAGACCCCCCGCTTGAACCTGCAGGGGTGAGGTGGGCGGGTGATAGCATTGGGAGAAGCCCAAACAAAGTGAAGTGAGTTTGTGGTCATGGCTATGTCCTTTTTTCTCCATCTCGATGGATGGTCCATCGATGGGCCATGGTCCGCATAGCACACAGGCAGGGAGACCTGGGGGTTTTTCTGGTTGGGAGTCCTGAGCTATACCACAATCAACAGATTCTGTTGCTCTTTCCGGTCAGGGAAGGGCTAGATGTGCTGCTACTTGTGCCTGGAGAAATAATTGGAGCAAATCTTTGACACTTACCTCTTCTTCAGCTCATCCAGGGAAACATGGTCATATCCCACTGACATGGTGCTGACCACTCTCAGGCTGGACCCTGTCATTTCAAGATAGTTAGTGGTGAAGAAGTTCCTGTGGCAGGAGTTGTCAGCCTGGATCTATTGCTGACAAATCCGGGATTCTGCTAGAAATAACCATCCTAAGCCAGATCTCAGTCTGGCAGCATCGCCACTATCTCCTTCAGCAGAATAGGACCTAATCAGTCAGTCACTGAAACCTTTATTCAGTGACTGGCTTGCTGCAAGGTATTTTTCTTGCCATTTCTATTCATACATGGTGCTGTCTGCCAGAAGCATTCTTTCCCAATAAACGACTGCAGCACAAAGAGACAAACCAGGCTGGAAACTTGAACACAGATGGATATGAATGTGGAACTTTGTCTTAAGCAGATCTGGCTCAACTGCCACATCTGAGTCCTGCTTAACCATCCATACCTGCTGCATCCAGAACTTCAGCATCTATCGTCTCTGTCAGTAGACAGTAGAGGCCCTGGATCCCAGCCACTTTCTTCAGCAGCTCTGAGCGTGGAACTGGGTCATCAGAATCCCATTGCTCAATGTGGCAGCTGTGGAGATGGGACTGTGAAGAGGACCAGACATTCACAAAATCCCTCTGGTTCCCTGCTCCTTCTTTCTGCAAAAGCTGGATTGTCAGGTAGGGTAAGAGATTGGCAAAGCTCTATAAAGGTATTAGAGGCCTCGTAAAGATAGTAAAGCTAAGGTACAGAAGCAAGAACCCATAGAGATGTGCGATGACATGAGATGTTTTGCTCCACCAGTCACTCTTCCTGCCATTGTTGGCACCTCTGATGACAGGAAGATTTTGATGCATGAAAGAACCTCAGAAGGTGGTTCCCTGGGGCCTCTGAAGGCGACAGCACTCATCTCTCTTGGTTCCCAGTCTGTTGCATCAGCCACCGGTCTGTGCTGCCTCTTGACATCTACATACATAAAGACAAGACCTCCCTGCCCCATGGAGGACCACAGCCCCTCCTAGTGTCACTCCACCAAGTATATTTACCTCCACATTGATCTTATCTCTTCCTAGTATCTCTATGATTCCCTCCTAAGCTAGGGATATTATGGATGGAAGTATATCACCCACATAGTTAGGTCATTAGGTCAGCAAGAAGCCAGACTTACAATTAAATTTTACATTTGAAATCTGATTCTAGCCATTAGTCTAAGTCTTTCTCAGGTTTTCTTTCTTTCTTTTTTTTCCTTTACCAGAGGTATTTTTTTCTCTTTTGTTTCATTTGCACTCCTAGAGATTCTGCCTATGAATCAAAAATTTGGCACCACTGCTTCAGATTTTGTGACATTCAGAATCTATTAACTAAATCTCTTTTTACTGAAGGGCAAATACGTTAGGGTTGTTGCACTATTATCACAAAATTATTTTAAAAACGTTTTCAGAGCTTTCCTGTAGGGAGGAGAAAACACATTGTCTCCAGTAGGGATTTCAGCCAAAACAGTTTCTTTAATCCTTCTTAAGGCATAACTAGGATTTTGTGATTAGGAGAGACTAGAATCTTTGGATGATACTGTTCCAAGGTGGAATATTTTAATTTTCCTTTATTTTTATTACTTTATTTTATTTTGAAGACCCACCACCAGTCTTGGAAGGTCTAAAGCTTCAGCTGGAGAGAATTTATATAATTTGTGGATAAAACTAAGCAGCAGTTACTTTTATAATGGTGGCTTGGAACAATCCATCCCTAGGCATGGGCACATTTGTGCCAGCCAAAGGTCTGACAGAGCAGTCACACAGTTCCCAGTCCTCAGTGCTCAGTTAGATTTTGGAGAGCTTATATGTGGCTCGTTGTTGGTGATTTCCACTTAGATTGCTCAGTAAGTAAGCCCAAACTGCAGCCAGTATTCTATCTGCTGGGGTGGTGAAGTGTCAGAAAGGCAGAAGGGGCTTCTCATGGATTTGCACCACTATCAGCCATTTCTCTGGGAAGATGGAAAAAATATCATCTGCACCTGGGCAGCTGAATGGCAGCAAGTCACAGTGTCATGACTGGAGTGTGTGAGGTTGAGCCTTGCATCCAGGCCTGTCTTCCTAGTTTGCTGACTCTAAATCCTTTAGAGGGACTCTGGTTCACATAGGTGTTTTCTTGATATCTTCAAATAAACTTCCCATTTTCCATGCTGTTGGCAGAGAGTTTTTTTTTTTTTTTTTTCTCATGCAACAAGTTCTCCAACAAGTGGATGAACTGTGAAAGAGAATAACCCAATTGTGCAAGATTGGATGGTAGATGTTCTACCAGATGTTCTCTTGCCCTCTGACTGTCTCATGGTTCTACCGTCATCCTGCTTCTGGAAAAGCAGGAAGCATTTGGTTTCTTCCACTCTGTATCGCTTCCTTCATTGCTTTGAGTAGGACAAATAAGGTCCCATCTGCTGAGAAAGCAGTTGCTTCCAGCAGTGCTGGAGGGCTGCCCTATGTGGCACAGCAGAGCATCTCAGTCAGAGAGGGCATTGACCAAGCCTGTGTGTTCAGCAACATGGCACAGTTCAACATGGCACATAAGACTTCTTATTATGCCCGTATCTTGCTAGTGGGTTTGGACTTTTGCTTTTGGAAGCAATACCGAATGCACACGTACACGTTAGAGGTAGTGTCTAGTACAAAATGGCAGAGTGGGGTGGTGGGATGCTCGGATGTGCCACATCTTCACCATCCACTCTTGCTTGCTATTGCGGACAAGATGTCCATGCCTATTCAGATCCAGGGTAGCTTTATGTAGCTCCAGTATCAAGGCAGTAACTTGTGAATTGCTGCATGATCAACGGCTTCCAGAACTAGCTTAGTGAGCATACATAATTTGTCAATTTTGTTGATGATAGAAAACTCATTTGGGTGAATAAAAATACTGCTGGGATTTGCATGAGTTCACTGAATTTGGTTTAATCAGAAAACAAGAGTATTCTAATAACTGAATCTCAGACTTCCTACAAACAGAAGTATGTTTTGTTTTGGAGGAGAAACAGTTCATCTGAAATGTTCCAGCTCTTGGCCTTGAAATGATGTAAATAAATTTCCATTTATTTGAAACAATGATTGAAGTTTCAAAAAGTAGCTCGTTTTGCTTGATCCAAAATTCTCTGCTGGAAAGTTCTTAAAAATATGTCCAGAAAATCAGCTGGAAATTTTGAAATTAGTGCTGATAGACTCAGAAATAATATGTTAATTATTTTGTGCATTATTTTTCCAGTACAGAGCAGGTATTCCCTCACCTCTGCCTTGAGAGGACAGAGACATGAAAATTAGGATTTTTCTGCAGCACTTCTTAGTTCTGTGTGTACCATGGGTGGGTACACACACACACAAGTGCTGCCTCTCCAGCACTTGTCTGGGAAACCTTGTCTTCTATAGTCAAAGTAGCCACAGATGCTTTGTTAGAAGGGGATTAGTGAAGCAACTTGAGATATAATGAGCAGTGGGTGCCAAATCTTTGAAAATTCTCATGACTGTGAACTGGCATTGGCTCTAAACCCACTTATGTAGGTTTAAAGTTCTTGTGAAGATTTTTTGAACCCTCCTGAGTTGCAGTCGTTGCTTCAGTGATCACTGCTGTCCTATCCAAATAAGAACTAAAAGAGTTTTTCTGTTTTGTTTTTCAAATAATATTAAAAGGTAAAATTTCCTGAAAAAATGGTTCTATTTCCTTCCAGCACTTTTTTTTCTTCACATCAGAGAAGCAATTGAGTTCTGCAGTATGAAGCTAAAATACACTAGTTCTAGCAAAACAGCTTATAACAAATTCTAAAATTATCTTCTCTAGGAATAAATTTTGCATTCTTCCTACATACTTCCTAGATACTCTTGAAAAACTAACTGTTAAAATTTTCCTCCCCTTGACTTTTTGATGCATCCTGAGCTTTCCTTCTCATTGCTGGCTCAGCATGGTCTATTTATGTGCCAGGTTCTACTGGCTTGTCTCACTGAAGTGCAGGGACAGACCCTGCCCCCCTTTCCTCAAGCTTTTCTTCTACTGTTCCAAATTGACTTGATCCCATAGAACTTTTCTTGAATGAAATAACTGGAATACAAAAACACTGATAAGACAAATGTGTATATATTTACACAAATACAATTTGTAGGTATTTGTTTTTATTCAGGCCTTTTGAGCAGTTTGAGAAAAAGCAAGTATTTAAACAAACAAACAAACAAACAAACAAAAAACTCCACAAAGGTTGTTCGTAGGTTTTCCTGTTACCTCTTCTGACCTGCATAGTACTTGGAGCTTTTGTTTGCTTGGGCTGTGGGTTGAGCAAAGTCCCTGCACAAAGGTTATCGTCTGCTATGAAAGCTATGGGCTTGGATAGAAGTTCAAAGTTCTGTTTTGCTGTATTACTTACACATGAGGTAGACATTCAGCTGTTAATTCACCTTTGGATCTAATTAAGACCCACCACTCAACTTGTCAAAGACAAACAATTTCTTTTAAGAAAAAAACAAACAGCAAACGAACACAGAAATCCTATAGTGTTCATTTACCACTCCAGTCTCATAAGGGATTTATCCTGTTAAGTAGGGGGCCTGCTGGATCTGAGTAGCTCATTTCACTGATTAGTATTGTGCCTATTGTGCTTGTGCGTTAGAAAGGTCTAAGGAAAGATTTAGAAATATCTTTGTTCCCCCCTGTTTCATAAGCAAGGCATTAGAGTGAGAATTGTCCTTCACAGCATTTGTTTGCTGCATCTCTAACATCTCAAAGGCTGCCTGTGACCTGGCTCTGCAGTCCACCTGGGTGGCCTGTTTAATTACAGACTGGTTTTATAATAGAGAATGGATTCAGGTCCTGTTTGCTCTGAATGTCCTGTGCCCATGTGCATTGAGCACCTGCATCGGTTCTTTGCAGACATGCCACACCTGGTGCAAAGGCAGTTTATGGCTGCTGAACCACCTTCAAGATTTCAGCTTTGGAGACCACTCTCACCATACCTAGCAATAGGAGGAAGGGGATGTTACAAAGGATGCTGCAATCCAGCAAAAGAAAATCCAGTATGTTACAGTAGCAGAGTTAATGATTCCCCCAGTGTCACACTCAGCATAAAACCCTTTCAGAAACTCAGCACGCAGTCATGTCCATTCACAAGCAGGTTTTTCTACTCCCTGTTGCAGGAATACTCACAGTCCTGCCTGCCTCAGGATCTTTGCTCCTTCCGGAGGAATCCGCCTTGTCACGTAGATCCTGGGCAGCTGCTGCCTGGCTACCTCGGCTGCCTGAGAATTGCAGCAGATGTGAAACTTGGATGCCAGGAGCGGCTTCAGCCACCTCAAATGCCTCAGAATTCCCATGGCGGTGAGGAGGGCTCCAAATGTACTGAAAGGAGACTTTGGACAGGAAGCTTTTATGTCAACCCAGCAGCAAAGAGCAACTTGGCAGTTGCTTTCCCACCAGAACAAAGACCAATACAACCAATGAGCCTGGGCTTATTTGCATGGAATGACCCTTCCTCAGAAAATATTTTTCCATCCTTCCTAATCCAAAAGGTCCAGTGCAGCAAGGTCTGTTGACCTCATTATTTGATTAATTATTGTATTCATGCTGATTTTCATATACAGAAAATGAATTTCTGTAGTACAACTGATTTGGATTTATATCTCAGTGAGAAACATTTTTAGGCTCTCCTATATGTTTGAAGGTAGTTGCCAGAATGAATGGGAAGAATTACTTCTTGGGGAAGTAACAAATATCTGGATTCTTGGGTTACACATTTTTAGGAGGCAGTATGTGAAAATGAGTTTATATAGAAATATACTGATCTGGATTAATTCTTTCAGTTTATAATGGGAATTAGTATGGAAGTGGAAAATTGAATCTCATGCTATGCCTTGCACTGGAGTTTTTTTTTTTTTTTTTTTTTTTTTTTTTTTTTTTTTTTTTTNAATTTATCTGTAAAAACTGTAGATTCCAGTCTGGGAAGTGTCTTGCTGGATGTTTCCTGGAAGTATCTGCATGACTGTGGCTGAGTCACTGCTTGGAAGCTGAGAACCTTCACTTATCCTGATTCAGGTGAATGAATAGTCTTAAGGTATCCTGGAATTTGCCTGAGTGAAGAAGTGTGTGGCATGGCCTTCCCTATAAAGCTTGCTGCTGCTTTACTCTTTCTGTGCTTTGGTTTGGGTCCAGTTGGTCAGACTTGGGCTGTATGAGGTAAGAAGTATTTGTTTCATGTGAGTACATTTTTTTTTCTTTCCCCCAAAAATATAATTTTTAAAAGATGTTGTTTTTTCTTTTTCACACCAAAAATAATTTCAATTAAAATCCAAATCCTTTGAGAGAGGGCAAATTACTTTCCAGCTCTTATTTATAGAGAGCAGACATCTAATAGTCAGTGTTCTCTGTGCTTGCAGGTAGGTGACCATGCCCGGTCAGTATGTGCTGCTGTCAGTGGAGCTGTCAGTGGAGTTACACTGTCAGATGTGCCACAAAATCACTACCACTTTTTTTTTTCTTCCATAGATGGCCCCGGCTCTTTCAAGAAATGAATGAGTTATACTGGATGGGAAAGGCCCAATGAGGCAAAAAAGCGAAAGGCTAGGCACGGCACAAGAGGAAAGAAGGAAACTTTGACATTATTGTGAAGCAGTAGAAGTCCATGCATAGAACATTTTTCAAGATGACGAGAGCTCCATCATTATTTTTTTAAGGAGAGTGTGCTAGCTAGAGTTCATCGTGCCTGCTCAACATTGCTATTCTGAGTTACCCTAGCAAAACATTTAGTGTGCCCATCGGTCCGATGAGGTGTTGAACCTGCATACCTTGGAATGATGGCTTTCCTTTCTCCAGAACTCCGTTCTCTGATCACCCATGGTCCCTTTTTCATAGGAAATAAAGCAAAACAAACAAACAAGCAGAAAGTGTGGAATTAGTTCATTAGATGAGGTCTGAGATTCCCAAGATTTATTCCAGAATTCCTCCTTGTGAGGGCTGCAGTGACAATGATGGCCCTGGGGTCAGTGCTCCCTTTTCAGTCATTCATTATCTCTTTACAGAGCTCAGTAAATGATTTTCCACCCTGGACAATGTTACTGGATTTGTGCTGCTGATTTGTTTTTTTTCCAGAGATTTAATTGCTCCTGAATGAAATTAATCAGGTCAGGGAGACCTTAACAATTTTTAAAACACATTTTACACTGTTTTCAGAAATAAATCTTTGTCTACATTAAATTGGTTTTAATGTAAGGGGAAATCAAAAATCCTATTCTGCTTTATCCCTGTTACATGCTGTACTTATCACTTCTGATGGCTGACTCATTTACCCAGTGACTTCTAGGACCTAACATGACTTTTAGGGAGAAGATGCAGGCTTAATACAGGTACCATTTCACACTTTCACTAAAGATGTTGGGAATAATTTTGCAGTCTGGGACCCCCTGTAAACTGGCCCAAACTGTAATAGTTGAATGCTGCACCTCAGAAAACCCCAAGAGAACGCACAGAATCTTTTATATACAAACAAAACAGATGAACAATGCCTGTATCTTGGTGAAGTGCTGTTTGCTATGTATATGTATGTATAACTACAGAAAAAAGAGCTTTCCTCTTTTTAATATGTTTTTAATAACAATGCAAGAGTGCTCAGAGTAACCGCATGCAGTAGAAGAAGGTGGGAGAGGGATCACATACAGAAAAAGAAAACAAGCTATGATTAACAATGGAGCATTTAGAGAAAAAGAGAAAGAAGGCAGACAGATGGCATGAATATTAGTGCATGAAAATGACTAACACTCTGAGAATTTCCCAGTGTACTTCTGCTGGTTTTGGCTTGCTTCTATAATTAATTTATGGAAAGCACCTAAATTGGGAATAAACACAATCTTACAAATCCCTTCTAATCTCTGCCTGTATTTTCAAAACGATACCCTGAAGGTATACTTTCTTACAACGGTTAAACTGTTTTCTCTTTAAGAATTAAAAAGGACTTGGTCAGGACTGCATTCAGAACTGTTTTAGATGCAATCTATTGTTGTAAATGCCTGGATGGGGTTATTTACCCACTAGACCTCTGGATGCTAAATCTGCCAGTATTTTCATCTTGAATTCATGTATTTTGAAGTAATTTTTATCTTGAATTCATGTATTTTGAAGCAAAACATGACCCAGGGTACCCTCAGCTACCCATTGGCTCAGCATAGGTTTTGGAAACTTCATTGAAAAGAGTTTGTTTGCTTTTTTATTTCATGAAATTGCTCTCCTCTTTGACAATAAAAGCAAGCATGTTCCTCGGAGCTTGCAGGCCTTGCTCCCTCGGGTAGCAGGCTCAGAAGGCACTCAGGGCAGTTGTGCAGCAGGAACAACTGAAATCCTGAACACACGCTTAGTTCCTCTTCTCTGGATAGACCCTGAAGTTGTGCCAAGCCGTTCAATGCAACTTTGTACATTAGACAAAGTCTGCAAAAATGTTAAGTTCGGCTCTGCATGTGGCCAGTACTGTTATATCTGTCTCTTCTTGGTCCTCACGGGGAGTTATCTGGTTCTTTCAGTTTGTGAAGACGCTGCAGCCGCTGGCAGAGCCATATGTTTCCCTGTGGAATTGTGAAGCAAGGAGGGGGCAGATGATCATAGAAACTCCCTGAGATGCTTTCCATTGACTCTGGTGGTCTGAAGATCCCCTGGGATAGCTATGCACAGCCTGCCATCTGGTCCACAGGGAGATATGCTACAGGTATGTTTAGTGAGAACGCTGAGGATGCATGAGAGAGATGCAGAGATACACAAGGTAGTAGAAAAGCTGGCAGGAAGGTTCAGGGGACCAGGTTTCAGGAGACAGCTTTCTGACTCTCTCATCCTCCCTGTTCCTTTGCACCGGGTCACCTGGCACCCGCAAAGAAGGGATGCCCTCAGCAAGGTTAAAGAAGCTGAAGGACAACCACTCTGTACTAGAAGAGACCAACAGAGAAACCAGAGAGTACTGCCACAGTCTGCTGCAACAGTGATTGCTGATGGTATCTCTACCGTCCAGAGAAGCAGAAACAGCTTCTCATTCTAGTTTCATGGCTGTGCAGAGCCCTGCCCTTTCTCCCAGCGTGCAGAAGCCTTGCTGCAGTGCTACACAGAGGCTGTAGCTGCAGCCAGCGGCAGCACTTCATGCTGAAAGCTGCTTTTGTGTCTCTGGTGTTAGCTGTAAGCTGTAAGTGTATGCTATTATGGCTACCCTCCGTAAATGATACTTTGGTCTGATGAAGGAGGATGTGCCAATGAAATTCCAGCAGTACTGACAGCTGTAGCACTGGGCCCAGGGCAGAGTCCACCAGTGAGATCATGGAAGCTCAGGGAAGGGAAACAGACATTTTATTATCTAGTTATCTAGTTTTAATGTGGAAATCAAGGTAAGCTTTACCCACGGCACAACCTGTCCTGTTTATTTAGCCCTTGCACTTCATGTACATTTTGCATTGGAGAAACTGTTTTCCTTGTTCTCTCCAAAAAATGTAATGGCTAAGGGAAAATACCGCATTTATGAAAAATTCTCTTACCCTCATTAATACAGTGATAAGTGTAAGAAGTGATTGACCTGCAGTGTTAGCAGGACAACTGGGCAGCATGTCTCAGATGAAGACCTACCATTCTGTTGGCTGTTTGCATGTAGTTCATGAGGTTCAGCACAGGCAGCTGCCAGGCAGATGACAAAGGAACAAGGCTGGCAAACAACAGCACCACAGTGGCTGCCATTGGTGCCTTCCGAGGGCTCCAGGTGGGGTAGAGGGGCCTGGAAATTATTCCACAGTGCAGTAGTCAGAAGCCAAACTGTGCTGTAACTGTGACCTGTAGAAATTCCCCAAGACAGTTGGGATGCAACACCTCTTTGTCCTTGCATTAATGATGGATATCTTTACTGTGCATCGGGTAGTAGGGCCCACTGGTAAGCTTGACTTGCAGTTTTGCAAAAAAATCCTGCTATGGACCTGGGAAAGTCATGAAGCTTGACTGAGTGTTCCTTAAATGCTACAATTTTTATCTTGCTTGACTGAAAGCACAAAGAATGAAATCATTGCCATCTTTGGTTTCACATTATTCTTGTAGTTATTAAAATGCTTTGGAAAGCATTCTGTTCCCACAAGTAATAATTTTGAATATACTGCCCCATTAATTACACTAGTAGTTAAATACGTATTTGTATAGTGTGTATTCATTCACCTGCTTACTCTAACAATTAAATGAATATTTAAATATGTATTCTTACACATACACACATTAAAGCATAGTAGTTATTCAGCAGAAAGAAAAATATTTGGTAGAAAGAGAGGACTCTTTCTGAGAAATCCCATTCTAGGGAACAAGTGTTAATGTGTATGGTATTTTATTGCCTCCAA